CTGTAGAAACGAATATTATTGACGGACACCCCTGAGAACTTCTATAAACCATATACACAGAATGTTTTGGAGGTTGTTTGCAAATAGGTACATAGGTGTAATAAAATAATAAAAAACAAATAAGTAACGAAATTATGTATTAGATTCAGGTATATAAAGCATGTAGATTAATAGATAGTTGCCTGTTTTTAAAGTTAATGCATAAGAGTAACTTTTAAAATCAGGTATCATCTATACATTCCCGGTTATAATAAGGTACTCTGTGACAGAAAATGTGTGTTATATTTTGTGAATGAGCCACAGATTAGAGAGAATTTTTAAACTCTCGTTATCTAAAGAAAGCTTATTATTTTTGTTATGTTTATATTATAACCATATTTTAGATTTTTAGTGTATCACACCTTATAATGTGTTTATGGAGGTGTTTGGCGCAAAATGTATGGCAATAGACTTTATGATATCGCCTACCATCTATAATATTTGTATTAGCACATTTGCATGTAGTAAAAATGATAAAATATATTTGTTTTGATGTTATATAAACAACTTCGATCACTCTTTGGCTGAATGTTGCTACACCCATAGCCATTAAAAATGATTCGTATGTTTTCCAAACCGATAAAAATATGAGTCCTTTTTAAAATGAATATATTATACAAAGGTGTCCGTTAAAATCTAATGACTGTAAAAGAAAGTATAACTTACGCCAAGAATTGCCGTATATGTCAATATTTTTTGTACATTAGGGCCAATTTGAGCAATCTCCTTTAAATACAGATAAATCAGTACCTGCCAACGTCATTATGACTCAATACCTATAGCTAGCGTTTACTTTAATATTAAATAATTTATATCTTATGAAATGTTATTATGAAGTAAAGTGATCAATCTGCACTTTTATAATAAATGGTAAATAAAATATCGACGCGATTTTAGCCTCGTATTAATACCTATCAATTGGAAACAATAAGTAACTCAACTGTAACTTGACACTAACTTGTAATGAATAGAATTTCCGCTGCGATTCTAGCTTACGGATCAAACTATTACTGCGTCCTAATCTATGGCGATTCTAACGCACAGACAAAACACACAATGGTGTCAATTCTGGCGTGTTTCTCTAAACTTAAAACTAAATTTAACATCAGTCTCTCCTTTTCATTCCGTATAGAGAATGACAGGGATGCACTGTTACCAAATTTAAGTTTAGCTTTAGAGAATCATGCCAGAATCGACATCAATATATAAATATTATAAGTAACGACAGGAAATATAGCAGAGGAAACTGGGAAAACGAAAAGTACTCACCCCAGTATTCTTTGCATCTCCAGCCGGGTCTTGTAGAACAGCAGGGTTCCCAATTTGCCAGGACTCCCGCTATATGACCGCCGTACGAAGGCTCGTAGAAAAGGACTCGCGATTATAATGATTGTAACCGTTCACTCTAATTCGGCGAAATCAGAGTGCCACGAATCCTACTGACTGCGCCAGTTATGTTTCGGCGGAAAAGAATTCTAATAATAAATACTTATTTATTTAAAAATACAACTTTAATGTTTAAAGGTTCTTACAAGACTAATTATTATATTAACATTATTCTATAAGTAACTTATTGCTAATTCGGCAGTATTGCCTATGACGCACGAACTGCATCGGTGCAAGTCAGCAATCGATGCGGTTTGTACTGCGTTCGATTGCTTAACTCACCATATATCTATTTTTAATGTGTAAGCCATTACCGCTAAAATAGGGAATCAAAACTAAAATATTATTTAATATCTATTTCCAAAATGCACATTTTGTATTAACAAATTATTTTTTATGAAAACAAATACTTTTATCGCTTTTGATATTTGAAGACGATAAACTTTGCCTTTCACACTATGTCATTTCGACAAATATTTAAAAAGTTACAACGATGACAAAGTGATAACGCGGTGTACTATATAGGAGTAGACTGCGGGAATACTAAGAGAAGAAATTCAATTTAGGTGTTTATAAACATGGATAAAACCTAGGCGAAAAAGAAAAAAATGGGCTACTCGCAGTATCTGATCCTATACGAAGTACTGACAATAAAACTGTGATACAGTTCCTTCTTATTAAATGATGAAAAATAAATTATCATAATAGGTATTTATGATTATTGAATACTTAATATAATGACAAATAACCCATTTTGCGCTAGTAGGTACATACTTATTGGAATCCCTGTATTTATTAATCAGCTGGCAATAATATTGGTTTTGTAATTATAAACGATAATTCTGCAAAATTCAAAGTAAATAATATAGATTTTTATAGGTAAATCGCCCCTTTCATCACCTATAAATATAATATATTAATATTGCGATGTTGTAGCTAAGAACTAAGTTCCCATTTATTTCTATAGGGGAATTCATTATAATCGATTTAGCTATTAGGGCACGGAAGCGCAACAAACAAACTCACTTTCGCATCTATAATAATATAGTATACTTACTAGTGATCCACCTGCGCATTGTACGGCCGAAATTTATTTTATCGGGATAAAATACAGCCTATGTCACTCGGACAAAATGTATTTAAATAAAGAAAAATGTAATAATAAATAATGTAGCTACCTTATGATGAATTAATATTTGAAACCGGTTCAGAAGTTTGACAGATTATTTGTTACAAAAATACAAATCTTGCCTCTTTATAATATTAGTATAGATAGTTAGGATAATAGTATTAAATTGATGAAAAAGATTTAAAAATAAAGTAAGTAATAGGTTTATTTGATTATATTTATTTGTAAAAGTTACTAAGCATTTGTGCTTAACAGTGATACTTTATTCGGTATTTTTTTATACAAAAAAATATTTGGAAAATAATTGCCGTGATTGCACTATTTGCAATACATACTAGGCTGGTAGTAGCACGCTTGATAGGTGGAAGTACTCTTCATTCGAGCTTTACACTACCAATAAAAAAAGGTAAATTTAAAAAATCAAAAAACCCAACTGCTTAATTATACTTCAAATAAAAACTGAAAAGAAAAAAACAAGTCCAGTAGTCTATAATTCTGTTAATAAGGAACAAAGCTACTTTAACAGTCGGGACCCATTAAATATTCAAGAATACATAATATTTTTTAACAGTGGGTCCCGGCTGTTAAAGTAGCTTTGTTCCTTATTAACAAAATTATAGATTACTGGACTTGATTTTTTCTTTTCAGTTTTTATTTCAAGTATAATTAAGCAGTCGGGTTTTTTGATTTTTTAAATTTACCTTTTTTATTTCACACATTTTAGTTAGTTAGTATTTTAAGACGGTATATTATACCGTAGTCTTGTTACTTCAGTAAGGGAATTAATATCGCGGGAATTATTAAGTACCTTGCGTCGGTCTAAAAGATTGATTTATTAAGACATATAAAGACTTTACCAGCGGGGTCAATGCTACAGATAAGCCTCAATTTTCGCAAAAATGTGTGAAGTTAAATCAAGTTGTTACATAAATATCTCTAATGCATGTAAATTTTATAGTAAACTAGCACTTACTCAAAAAGTCATCTTTTGTTTATGTTTTTTTTAATAGTTTAGCAGTAAAGATAAAATTCATTTACTTTTATTCGTCGACTATTTAAAATTGGCAGTGGCTGCATTGTCATGTCAATGCCGGACGTCTAAGATTGTGATATACACAAATTCAGTGTCAGTCCCTAGTCTCATAATTTGATATACCTACATAATTCACAGAAACCCAATATGTAGATGCCAGAAGTTAACTTCAAATGTTTTTAATCATCCTATATACAATACCAATCAATGACGTTTGTTTTGGACAATGGTGGCAACTGCCTTAGATCACTAAATTAAAAAATTATGCAATCACCAAAGCAAAGTTTATAATATTTGATTAAACTAAAGGCGCATAATAAAATTTTCATAACGTTAGGTAGAGCACCATAGCAATCTCATTTATTATCAATTTATAGTTCTCTTTGTAGTTTTATTTTAAAGCGTTCACATTTAACAGGTCAAAGACTTTGTGTTCGACCCTTTTTTATTGGTAGTGTAAAGCTCTAATGAAGAGTACTCCCAGTAGTGCAATCATGGCAATTATTTTCCAATTTTTTTTTTGTTTAATAAAATACCGAATAACGTATCACTGTTAAGCACAAATGCTAAGTAACTTGTACAAATATAATCAAAATAAACCTATTATTTACTTTATTTTTAAATCTTTTTCATCAATTAAATACTTATCCTAACTATCTATACTAATATTATAAAGAGGCAAGATTTGTATGTTTGTAACAAATAATCTGTCAAACTACTAAACCGGTTTCAAATATTAATTCATCATAAGGTAGCTACATTATTTATATTTACTGCTAAACTACTAAAAAGAACATAAACAAAAGATGACTTTTTGAATAAGTGCTAGTTTACTATAAAATTTACATACATTACATATTTATGTAACGACTTGATTGAACTTGACACATTTTTGCGAAAATTGAGGCCCATTGGTAGCCTTGACCCTGCTGGTAAAGTCTCTATATGTCTTAATAAATCAATCTTTTACACCATTTCAATCTACTTAATAATTCCCTCGATATTAATCCCCTTACTGAAGTAAGAAGACTACGGTATATACCGTCTTAAAATACTATCTAACTAAAAAGTGTGAAATAAAAAAGGTAAATTTAAAAAATCAAAAAAACCCTATATATATAGATATTCAAGAATACATAATATTTTTCAATAATGGGTCCCGACTGTTAAAGTAGCTTTGTTCCTTATTAACAGAATTATAGACTACTGGGCTTGTTTTTTTCTTTTCAGTTTTTATTAGTTGTATAATTAAGCAGTCGGGTTTTTGATTTTTTAAATTTATTTATTGATATTTACCCAAATTGAAGTTTCATAATAATATGCGCTGTATATGATAAGCCATAGTTGCCAGTTAAAAGATGGCCGCTAGTAGGGGTTGCGTTGCGGATTTAATAAGGCAGATTATGTATAAAGGTATGGCGCGCGATTCGAGGCGCGCAGCGTGCGGGGCGCGGCGTGGTACTGACGTCACATAGCATGGAGGAGTGCGAGGCGCTGTGCTCGCGGCTCACCATCATGGTAAACGGCCGCTTCCAGTGTCTCGGCACGCCGCAGCATCTCAAGAACAAATTCTCTGAAGGTACGTATCGTAAGTAAGCCCTAAGTAAGTAACGGCCCGGTCACAACTTTGCTGGTATACCCAAGTAAAGTAGGTACAGGTCTTAGAGCGTTTTAAATCGAATGTAGGTACTAAAATGTTAGCAAACTCGACGAAGAAAATCCCAAAGCGACGGGGCTAGCGTAAAGCTCATTGTTCTTAATGCGACCAGTCTACCGCTGCGCTCATCCCTAAGCCAAAAGTCGTGGCCGATCAGTTAGGCTTTTGTTAAAGGATACTGGATAGAATTATACAATAATGATACTTATAAGGTAAGTGATACCAATAAGGCCTACCTAATTTCAAATACTCATATATAAATTATTCGAAGAAGGTGATAAATAAAAGCAAAGCATCATTCCTTGGTTCATAAATTTTAAGTAATTAAGAAAACATATTACAATCTTTTATCAGAAATCACTTAAAAAGAGCTAATTCCGGAACCTTAGCCTTAGGCCTCTTAAAAACATAGTGACTTAACAAAGCCTATGTGCTTAAATTATAGGAATATTGTTATTAGAGTATAAATTATATTAAAATATGTATTTCTGAGCCTTTAATCAAGTGTTTCCATGGGATCCTTGAACAAATTTCTAATTTATTTTACTAAATATTTTGCTTAAATCGCTAGTCAGATTTGAAGTCGTATATTAACAAGAGTTAAAGAATGATATAAAAAAACATATCCATACAAACAAAAATTAGAAAATTAACATATATTCTCGTAAATATTATTAAATATTGGAAAATGAATATATTTTGATAAAAATAAGGCCTTTTATAAAAGTAGGTTTTATTTATAAAAGTTATATTCTTAGTCTATATCTCATATTCTAAAAAGTTAAATTTTAGGTCATAGTCAACTTTTTGATTAGTTATATTGTGATCCATATACATTACCATATACACATCTATGGCTCTATCGAGATTCGAACCCAGGACAGGATCTCAGTAAGCGATATACTTATTGAAAACCACTCTACAAATAAGTAGGTGGTATTACTTAAAAAGTACGAACAGGTTTAATAAAATAAGTTATTGTGCATTTGCATTTGCAGGATTCACTTTGACTATCAAAATAAGGATGGGCATGCAACGCCAGCTTTCTTCGGCCGGAGAAACCTTAGCAACAGTGGATACAGTCAAGCGATATGTTGAGACGAACTTTAGCAATCCAACACTCATGTAAGTTCAATATTTCTTACAGTAGTAGGCTTACGTGCCGGCTGACCACATATTGTCAAAGATGGGTCAAGAACAAAAATAGGAAAAATATAACAACAAAGAACGTAATCCTACCTATAACTTTTTACGTCTCATTTTTTACGAGTCATTAAATAAGAAGATTTATTTAGTTAAGATATATAAATACATATACACATCCATGACTTATGTACAAATGCTCGTATTTACTCGTCATACAAGCATTTAATTTGTCTCACCGGGTTTCGAAGCCGGTACCTCTGCTGAGTGAGCGACGACTTGAAACCCATACATAGGGTAAGTGCACCAGTGAATGAACACCCCTCAGTGAATAAACAAAATGTGAGTTTTTTCAATAAATTAAGAAAACTATATATTTGCAGCATATATTGACACAGTAATATTTTTACGAGTTCAGAGTTCAGGTTTAAATCAATAATCTGTTCGAACAAAAATTATTCAGTAGGCCGTAATATCCAAATGATGACTATTTAAAGTTAAGGTGTTGTGTTGCATCTGCGTTTGTATGAGCAAGAATTAAGGGCTCGCTAAGATATTGCATAAGCGTATTGTTATAAGCGTTGCTCACGCTGCACTAGTGATTTTGTAAAGAAACTTGCATAATAAAATAGAGCTGCTAAATGGTTATTTTATTCAACAAAAAGCAATTTGTTAGTAATTTCATTCGTTTTATAAAAATAAGGGAGTGTTCGATTACTAGATCATAAAAATGAGAAATTCATCTACAGGTTCTGGTCGGTTTTATTACATAAGGCTGATTTTAATACTTACTGTTAACAAATTGATTGATTTTGTTTAGATAGGATTAATAAATGATAATCTTTCTTTGGGACAGTATTAGAACCACCACTTTTCTACACCCAAAAAATAAATTTTATCCATACTTCCAGGTTCACTTACTGGTTGGTTAAGACTTTGGTTCGAAATAACCAATAAATGTACTGTATTTATAAATATTTTATAAAATTTTAAGCATTAATCTTAGTAATAGTTACGAAAATCAGTCCTTCCATAATCTAATAATCATAAAGCAATGTGTGCAATAATAGAATACCATGATAACATGAAGAAATTGCAAGTACACTGAATACTTAACTATACTAAAGCTTAACTTGGGTTCCTAATACACCAGGAAGAAATTTATGATACAGACGAAATGTTTTTGAATCGATACGAAAAGGAGATTAAATATTTGCCGTTACCTAATTCCAAAGGATTAGATTAAAATAGCCTCACTGAAACTCGGATTCCTGAATAAGATGCTACGTTTTTTCACTCACGATCATCTTTAGTTGTTGTACAAAACGAAAAAGCGGTCCTGTGTGTCTATTTTTCGCATCTCTGAGAATCTTGAAGTTTGCTAGGTTGCTGCGTAGCGTGATCCACAGCATTGGCAATTTAGAGGTGACTAACAATCTCGAGACCCTTGTCAATTATGGCATGATGTTCGACGGTGAGTGTTCTGAGGATATACACTTCTGGACACATCTATTGGCCCACCTTAGAGTTTAGGTTTCGATGGCCCCTACCGAAATATGATTGCTAGATTGAACAAAAACTGTTGATGCAGTTTTAAATCTGATACATTTAACCATCTTTTTCGATCGTATTGTTTTAAATTTGAATTCAGAATACCATACGACATGGAGCTACGCCTAACAATTCGGATATGCGCCTTGTTAAAGGCAAATGATTTTTGAATAAAAAACATGTTTTTTCAAATAAAGGTTTAATTTAATAACGCGTGTTGCCTCCATGGGCATCTACCACAGCTCTCATACGATTAGGCATAGAGTTTATCAACCACTCTATGAAATTTTGAGGGATCATCTCCCATTCCTCTTCTATGGCCGTTTTCAACTCCTGCATCGTATGGGCAACTGGCTGACGAGCCCTAACACGTCTTTTTAGCTCGTCCCACATGTGCTCAATGGGGTTCATGTCTGGGCTTCTGGCTGGCCAGTCCATAACTGTGATGTTCACATCCCGAAGATATTCCCTGACTATGCCGGCCGCATGGGCTCTTGCATTATCATGCATAAAAAGGAAATTTGGGCCCACATAGTCCGCGTATGGTATCAGGTGAGGTTCTAAGCACTCACGAATGTACCTTTCAGCATTTAATGTTGGCAGCCGTGGTCCTGTAACAACCTCAAGTTGAGTTTTGCCGCTCGCGGATATACCGCCCCAGACAGTCCATGAGCCACCGCCATAAGCAACCCTCTCTTCAAAGCAGCATTGGGCGAAACGCTCTCCCTTACGTTGGTAGACCTTCTTCCTTCCATCATTGCCATGTAACACAATTTTAGACTCATCAGAAAAGAGTACACGGCTCCAATCTTGCTGTGTCCAATTTAAATGACTGCGTGCGAAATGAAGGCGCGCTGTTCGGTGGGCTCGCGTTAGTTTGGGCCCATTAGCTGGCTTGTGTGATACCATATCGCGTTCTTTTAACCTTCTCCGAACAGTTCGAGCGCTCACAGATACTCCGTGGAAGTCGCGAATTTGTTTCAAGCTGGTCGTCACGATGAATCGATCCTGCCTTTCAGTTGTGACCCGAGATCGTGGCCTTCCTTGGCGACGAACAAAGCCACCAGTCTCTAGGTACCTCCGATAAACATTTCGGACCGCAGATCGACTAAGTTGAGCACTCACGTTTCTTTGGCTGTGTCCGGCCTGAATAAGTACCACAGCTTGGGCGGCGACTTCAGGTGAAGTATCCATAGATTATTGATAGAACCTCACCTTAATGTTAAGAATAAGTAATGTTTGTTGCAAAACCAAAGATATCAATCACTTTTTCAAGAATTAAATCCAAGTAAACCAATAAAACCAAGTTTTCTTAGTATTCGATTGTTTGATATCAACAAACAGGCTCCAAATTGTCTTTTGTTTCTTTAAATTCTGTGTTCGAAATTCAAAAAAAGACTATTGAATGAAATTATGAATGTGCCAGGTTCAAAACTGCTTAAAAACTTTTTGCTCGACCTAATATAAAATTTTAGCTAGGACCAAACGAAACTGAAAATACAAGGTGGGCCAATAGATGTGTCCAGAAGTGTAATACTATCCCATCCCTCTTCTCTCCATAGAACCTCGCACGATAGCTTGCGTTACCACCAGTTTATTAAAGCCACAATTCCAGTGCTAACGAGTAAATTTGGTTACTCATTTTAATATTGTATCGCAGGTGAAATTCTTAAACCGCGTATGAAGGTCCTACAACGGTTTGTAGGAATTTCAAAAGAGGTATGAAGAAATATTTTTGCAGGCTGGCAAAGTGTGAATAGCTGGTGTGGCAGGTAAAACTGCTGCAACAGCCAGTCTTAACGTCTGGAGTGCACCACCTAACATCAGATGGGGTGGAATAAATACCTAATTATAGAGATAAAGTTTCCCATTCTATCACGTGTTAATGAAAAATTATATTTTTAATTTAAATTAATAATAAAATTAAATATTAAGTAAATAAATTAACAGAAAATTGTGATTTCTTAATAAAAAAGTACGCAATGCTAAACGTTCATTCTATAGATTTTGGTGTTTATTCATTGATGATTTTGGGTCATTTGCTGCAAATAGAAATTTATTTCATAAATTGTGTCTATTATTGGCATATTGCCCATGCTATAACTTGAATATATTTTTAATATAAAAGAGTAGTATTTATATGCCCCGCCACCCTGAAGTCAAAGTTTCAAAATGCCTCAAAAGGTCCCCCTTTCGAATGGGAATGGGCAGGGAATGTTTTTTCCATACAAACGCTATCGACTGATTCTTCCTTGATTTTTATCACTAAAGAAATGATTTTCATACATATAATATCATTTTACTCATTCTATATTCCTATGTCTTCCTTTTTTCGATAAACTGTTGTTCGAAGAAACTAGAAGACCTCAAATATGCAAAAAGTTTACTATTTTAATCACCAATAAAGACGCCAAGGTGGAGATTTAATAAGCATTTAAAAAAAAACAAAACATTGAGGTCTAGTATAACTACTTATTATTCTATAAGTAAAATTTATTTTAGATATATTTAATTTTCGAGGAGAGACACGTCAAGAGCCAAACCTCTGCAATTTTTGTAGATCAACGTTAGCTATTGTTGTCCCTATCGCATAGTATTTGCCAATGCGCGACTACAATATTTTTTTAAATTCCTTTTCCTCAAATGTCCCTTAGCTTAGAGTGAGAACCCTTACCCTAATACTCACACAACGGGGAAATGTCAAAAAAGATAGAGCTTGTTTATAAGCTGACTGAAGTCAGTTGGAGAAATATTACAATGAGCGCTCATGTTTTTTTCTAGGGAAGAGTACCAGGGCCTCCTGACTTACTACTTGCCAGACAGGAGCTTAGCTTGGTCCAACATGTTCGGCATTATGGAGCGAGCCAAACGGGACATCAATGTGGAGGACTATAGTATCTCACAGACCACCCTTGAACAAATCTTTCTACAGTTCACCAAATATCAGCAAGAGTCAATACTTAATAATAAATAGGACCCCCAATACCTAGTTATTTAAAATTAGGTACCAATTTATATAGAAAAACATTTATTACAACTTTAAGAGAGACACAAATGACAGAGTTTTTGTTGAATCTATTGTGAATATCATGTAACCTTATTTTCATAAACATATACATAATAATATTCACGCGAAACGATGTTGACCAAAATAAATGACAGGTAGTGTAATTTTCTTTTCTTTTTTTTACTTATACGTTATTTTCTGTTGGTGTTATTTTGTTTATATTCTATAATCAGTCAGAGATAGGCTTTTATATTATAGTTAAATCAGTAAGTTAGGTAACGTATTTCATATATCTAGTCTTATTCGCTATTCTACTTAATTACAGATAAAAGAGGCTGAATTATTGAAAGCTTGTAACAAAAATTGGTAACATTTATTGACGATTGTCGTTAAATCGTTTTTCACTATAGTTATATTACAAATAAAAATCAATTAGTCCATAACATCGTTAGTATCGTTTAAATGACATAGATATACATATAATTAAATAGCGAAAAATTATAAAGCACCTTTCATAACTCCAACGATAACGCGTTCATTTTTGCTTTAGGTACTTTGTTTTTGACCGTTCAAAGAGAGCAACTTTATTAAGATTAAATAAGAAAATGCAATATTTGGCAACATTAATGGGTTTAATTAAAACCTGTATTCTTTAGGTTTTTTTCTTTATATTAATCCGGAAAATTCAGGCCGTAACTCACTAAATTAGGAGTTTGAGTATTCATTATAAATAGGGGAGATACTTTCACACTAAAAAGATTAGATTTTGCAAGTTAATCATTTATGTCCTGGGTTCCAAACCTGGGGGTAATTACCCCTCCGGTGGTAAATCAGCCATACTTCGGGGGTAACAAAGAATCTAATTATTTGGTCAAATCTAAATAATAAGAAAATACTATATAATAATACTACTAAATAGAGCATGCGCTCTTTCTTGCTAGCGAGCCCGCGGGGTGCTGAGTGTGGGAAGCGGGGCGAGATTTTCTCCTGATGTTGACATTATTAGAGGACGAAGATGTGGCGGCCAAATTGGAATTTCTTGGACTGATGATAACATTTTAAAGTCGGGGTAAAATCTGTTTTCCTAATAGGTTACAGGGGTAGCAGTATTGAAAAGGTTAGGAAACACTGATTTATGTATTACCCTACGTTATAAGTAAATATTGTATTGTAATTATACCAAAACAATAACTTACCGCAATAAACTTTTTTATGCATTACATGTATTTTGCTTTTTTCTATTTTATGCAAAACTTTTTAATTTAAAAGGACCACAACATATCATGGAATAGGCCTTACCGGGAAACCAGGTAAGCGCCTAGCACAATACTGATATATAGGTGAAAACGTGAGCATATGTAGAAGAATATATTTACTAAATAGTTAATTATATTTTTATTTTTAAGCAATTAACGGCTAGATGTTCAAATCTATAGAAAATTTTACTAGGATATATTCCACAGGGTTCAGGAAGCAGACGGGACTCGAACCCAACCCTCCGCTACTATATCTTCTTTCAAATGTTTTATACGTATGTAGTAAAGTACTTGTAAAAATGTTACGTTTGACTTACGTAGTAACTATTTAGTAATCTGCGGTTTGACATTGTGGATTAACTATAATGCGAAGAGATGGCGCTGCCTTGCAGCCTAAGAAATACTAGAAAAAATTCGACACGGCCATTAAGGTCGTGGTAGCATTATGGTAGTGCACCCGCCCGGTGCACTACCATAGTGGAGGGTGCGGGTTCGAGTGCTGCCGTCTGCTTTCTGGACCGTGTCGATTGTTCACTAGTAAGATATTTCCTCTTGACTCCGCCGCAGCTTTGTTTTCAAAACTCTAGGAAGGTAGTTACTATCCATTGTTTCTTCTCCAAACCCAAAACGACAGAAAATAATTTACACGTAGAAAAATGACATATTAACCTACCTACGCATTATATTATTGGAGTTACTTGGAAAAACACAAATATTTTTAAGGAGAATAGGAAGATTTTATTTGCTCAGTCTGCGAAAAGCTCTTAGTGAACCCGTGTTGGGTTTATACCATTTGTTCTAGTCAGCTGCGAATTTTCTCATAATATTCTCTCTCTCTATTTTCTTGCAGAGATAGGCAGTTTGTAAAGTTGTAAGCTAAGTTACGTAATTTGTCATAATCGCTTCCAAACTCCAAATATGGCATCGTCGTTGAGATGTAGTTTTGTGCACCGTAAGATAAAGTAAATAGATAAAAGCTTGTAAAGTAAATCGATACGAAGAAGAAACGTTTCCCGGCTGACCCGGCAGACGTTGCGTGAGTAAGAATCCGCTGCAGGCCACATTACTGCAGTACTATTCTGTAAGAACCAATTCACTTTACTCAGCAGAATCCACGGTGTGATTAGAAATTCGTATTTTAATTTCAAATCACACCGCGGATTTCACGGTGAATAGTGAGTTTGTTTTTTGAATAACACTGTTGTATTGCGAGTTTTCAAATTTCCTACTCTACTATACAGTCAGTGACAGGAGAGCGTATGGTCTATAACTTCACAATGAAGCATCTAGGCAAGGCAAGGGTGATATTTTCGTATTCAATGATGAAGATATTAAAGTGCATAGGGATCAAATGCATTTTCAAAAATTTCGACCTGTTATGTATGTGCCACCTTGAAGGTGCTATGAATATGGGTCGAAGTAACAGGTAACATGACTTGCTAAGTCTGCAGCATCAGCATCTAAGTTGGGGCCGAATTATCAGAAACCTACAGCTCACGTTCTCACAGAACGACACTTAGAATGCCTAGGACAAACATACTACTTGTAAAATTATCTGCTTATCGTAGACATGCAGCGTTCACCTGCATCTCGTAGGCCATGCACCGCTTGCAACTTTTGCACAATGTAAGCATGACGATGGACTGCAGCGCAGCATTCATAGCGGGCACTCACAAGACCCACTAATGCTAGAATTGAAGTTAACTTTTCAACCTATAACTGCAGCTAGCAACCGCTGACGTAGTACAAGAATATTGTATCATTCAATTGTTTATTTTAGGAGCAATTACATCGGCGTACCCGCCGATAACCCGCGGGTTAGGTTGCGGGAATTCCAAATTGCTTGGTTATCCCCATGCAATTACCCTGTTTACAATCTACTGGCTCAGTATTCGCTCTGTGCACACTTATACACTCTTGTCAAAGTGAGAATGTGTGGTCGTGTATATGCATACTGGTGGCAACGGCAATAGCGAGGAAATATGTATGTACACGACCACATATTCTCACTTTGGTGAGACTGTATGACTGTGTGAGTGTGCACAGAGCGAACATATTCTTTTGCGCATAGTCGATAGCTACACAGTGAAAGGCGAACGTTCACGAAGGAACATTACTTAGGAGGAGAAGCCCCGTGACATCTAGAACTCAACATGACGTCCCAAGAAGATCAAGACAGAATACTTACTTTTCCGGTGGACACCTTCACGATCCGCGGGCCTGCTATACCAAGTGAGGCCCCTTTCAGCCCTGCCAAATTTATGCGTTTTCACACTGCATATCATAAGTTTGTTCGGTCGATGCGAAACTTGGACTTGACTTTTCTTAATGGGAAAGCATGCACCGTCCGCTACAACTTTGATGCAACGAGACCGGAAGAGGATCGCCTGCTGATAAATTGGGACTGGCTCATGCCCCTATTTTGGAAGCCGCCGCCTGGTGAAAGAGATATTGTGCGGCTGCCTACGATACTGAAGTTTGTTAAGGAAGAGCTTCGGTTTCAGAAGTGCAAAACGGTTGCCGGCGACACCTGCACCTGTGGCAACAATCCACATAAAGTGATATCTCCTGAAAGCGAGTGCACGAACGAACTCCACTGGCATCATTTCTGCATCGCGCACGTCTCTGCGTGGTTGACCCATTATATGGTGCCGGCGATTCTTCTTAAAGAATCTAAAGAGATGTTCTATGCGATGATTGCAAAAGTGCATCGAGACAATCCAGCCATCTTGGAATATTATTCCACGGGTGAACGTACGGACACACAATAGGCTAGTTGACCCTTTTCTGAAAAAGGTTTTAAATGGTTAATAAATGTTCTATTAGACCGAGAAAAAATGTTTTGTATTTTTTTGAGACCTAGAAAGCTACAAATCTTTAATTTTAAAATAGAATTTTCATGGACATACAAAAACGCTGTCGGCCATTTTAGTCTATAAATTGTCTATGCTATGATGTCAACAGTAGTAAACAAAAACCCGTAAGCACGTAGAAAATAACTTATCCGAGTTTATAATAAAAAGAACATGATTTCTATTAAATATCACGAAAAATAAAGTAATCATCATTATTGTATTGTACGAGAATATAAAACCACATCCTTGAAGACTCCAGGAATGTTGTGGATTAAAGTGCCGAAAGAAATTAACCTACGCAACTTTATTACACTTATACATATGTTGTATCAGTTTTATGTTTATTACTACATTGTAATACTAAATGCACTGTACTTACATAGATGCCTTGTCGTTTCTCTGCTCCGCAGAGCAGAAATCGGGGTTTAGTGCAACAAATTCACCAACCATCAATGCGTCAATTCTTGGCAGATTTGTGCTTTCTGCTTTCACAAAGCCGGCATCCATAATTAGTTTTGTCAAAAAAAACTAAGTTTACTGTTTTTTTCTTTCCTAAAGTTAAAAGTGTTTTAATAAGATAAATTTAGTCAGACGAAAGAATCCACCTACAGTAACACGCGAATGACATTTAGTTGTTTACCACAAGAGACGTCAAAATCATGGCGGATGTGGCGAACAGCGTTTTTAGTGTTTAAAAAATATAGACTAAAAAATATTTTTTTAAATTAAATTTCTACAGCAATCTTCTGCTTTTATGAAGTGAAATCGATATATTAAGGTTCCTTAGACTAAATACTTTAAGAAATAAATATTTATTTAATAAAATTCGACATGAGTAAACTAGCCTATTGTTGCTTGACTCGGCTCGCAGCATAAGTCGTTCCGGCTCTAGTGCAGCTGCATCTCAATAGTGTTAAGAGTATTGAATAGTTTTCATAAGTCTAAAGTACTGTAGATTGAAATAAATGGCTGTGTTTAATATGTCTACTTTTATTTGTTTTATTCCTATTAGTAATGTAGAATGATGGAGAGTTGTGCAGGTGAGGTATTGAGACCGTTCCGTCTTACGTTGCTCCAAGATCAAATTTAGTGTTAGATACAATCAAGTCAAGCTTGGACGGCACTAAAGGTAACGGCTAGGTAACGTGCTACTAGGAGCCTCATAGCACGTCACACCACTATCACTTACCGTTGAGTTGCAAGGCGTGATGATAAGAGTTACGTGCACATGGGATGCAAAGCTCCGCTATCACAAACAATGCTTATCATATGTCTTGAGCAAGGCCTGAACGTGCCTTCGCTTACTGAGTACGTGTACCTGCGACGTTTAGCCGCGGAGCAGACCATACAGGAATGTGAGACGTCTAAATAACGTTTTTCTTAAGTTGGTTCATGAGTAGTATCTACGCATAAGCCGCAAACAGTATTACGGCAAAGAGCCGCGACAATAAACGTTCCTATACACGTAACTATACACGTAGACATAGATTTCCCGATAATACGTTGCCAGACGTGGCACACTTTAGTTTAAATATAGAACAAACCATATGCAATTGCTTAGAATATGAATAGGTAATATGTTACGAGTACGGGATCGTTATCAAACCATTGTTATTGGTTACCTTGAGACAGGTAGTCGGGCTCTGCGTCTTACGATAACCTAGGATCAGTTGGCACGAGCTACAAAATCTTGAGGAAAACCCAACGGTATATTTGATGTTATGATAAGTATTCATCTCTAATATAATAGATCTTCAGGCACAAATCACTTTCGGTTACTGAACGTTACGAACGTGCCTACGTCTTTGCTGTCTTTATTGAGCTAAGAAAAGATAAACGTAAAACAATGTCCGCACCGGCAGAAGCAAGCTGTTTCACACAATTCTTGACAGAGTTAAACGTGAAGACTTTCGAAGCCACATTCTACAATGGAAAACGGCTGAGCATCGAGTACCTTTTCCATTACGAAATTATGGGAGAAAAATGTCTGCAAGTAGGCCTCAACAGCATGGTACCACTGTTCGGAGGTATCACACCTCCCGGTATACCCCAATTCACCTATATCTCGGAGCTCTCCAATTTCCTCCGGCTCATAAACATGGATGACTGTTCATA